TCCCTATGCCCATCTGTGATATGGAGCAGATTTGCAAGTGTAATGGGAGTGTCAGCTTATTCAGATGTATCCTGAGTATGTTTTTCAAATTCTCCCAGCAAAAATGATTCACCAGGTATTTAAGACAAAATTGCAGGTACTTTACACGTACAGTCAATTTTCCTGAGAAAAGCAAGTTGCTGCTTTAAGAATGCAAGAACTTCCACTGATTTGGTCGAATTGTGTTTCTGTGGAAACTGTTTTTAGAGTAAGTGTGGGGTTTTTTTAATCCTCTAGGAATAAAATCTAGGCTGTTTATATGTAAATGTGATAGCCATAATGGAAAACCAGTAAATCACTGTTTAGCATCATTGCAGTTTAGCGAAGAGTCTTGCACTGTAGAAATATTCAGCTCTTAGATGACCTATTTCATGTGCCTTGCAAACTCCTCAGGGGCTTTGTTCACGACAACTGGATACCTCTTCTAAATGTGGTGACTAATCTGAACAGAATAGATGCGTGCTTGAGTCACAGATACTGTTTCTTTAAAATGTATTTTGCTTTTAGCTCTGTATTTAGTACTAGTAATTTGGTTGGGGTTGAGGAGAGCCTCAGGAGTTGCTGAGTCTCAGAGGGTGTGTTTGGATTTGTCTCAGAGGTGGAGGAAGGCTAAAACTCCAAGTGAAGATTTTTGCTTGTGAAAGGTATTAACTAAAATATTTCTGCTTTCCTTTTACATAGGTCTTCAAAGAAGGTTCTCTATTTATGTTTTCTCCTTGTATAATTCATTTTTACACGTTATTTATGCCCCACAGAATACATTCTTATTCTCTTTTAGTTGCAATCTATTGATGATGCCTTCGGTCACTTTTACTGTGTGCTTATCTGTCAATGAAGGCGTCTTAGTTTCAAGTGTTGATTAACATCTGTACATTTCATTGCTGTTTTTCAGGAATACAGATTTAGGTTCAGAGATGAAATGGCTCGGGAGAGTGGGGAGTATCGTATTTAATTGAAAAGTAAATTACTTAGTTGATTTTTGTCTGTGGCATTATTGTGATAACACAAAAATCTCCGGATTCTAAAAAGATGACTTATATTTTATTTTTCTAAACAACAAGAGAAACCTAAACACATTTTATTTTGGAGTTGACTCTCTTTAGCTAATGAACGAATGCAAGACTAACGTTTCATTTGCCACATGATAAGCAGAAATTTAAAAGTTTCTAAATGTTGTGGAGAGAGTAAAACGCTCGCTTCATGTTCTACAGATACATTCTTTAAAACACGGTAAGAGCCGTAAGAATTAGTTGAAGAATGACCTCCAGTGGCCTGGAGTGGGATTATTATGAATTTCAACCGGTGGAGTCCAGCTCTGTAGAGTACGCCACCCCAGGAGCTAACTCTTTCCTTCTCCCTGCCAATACTGAAAACTCTTACTGGGATCCCAATGCCATCTCTGAATGGTCAATGAGTATCCATACAGCACACACCTCAGAAATAGTCAAGGAGAAAGTTGTCCCGGTGAAGGAAATCAAGGACGAAAAAGATAAGAGAAACCAGAAGAGAAAGGCTAGGAAGGAACCTAGAAGATCAGAGAGAGAGAAGGAGGTTAGAAATCTTGTGCATCAACCCTGCCTTGAGCTTGACGTCTCCCATGGCTGCATGCTATGAAGCCTTGGCCTGGCGGTCTGGCACGACCGAGCTCTTCTGCGGTGCATGACTGCATGGCGGGCTTTGCGCTGGGTGCTCTGCATCAAGTTTCCTGCCCTGTATGTGCTCTCTGAAAATCTAACTGGGAAAACAAGTTAATTTAAAAAAAAAGGCCCAAGGCCCCGAAACTTCCCTTCTGGAAGCTCTAGTTTAAGAAGCAGAAAATTACTTTCAAATGGAACAATAACCCAGGGTTCGTAATCACTTCTAGCTGAATGTAAATATGCAAAGTGGCTTATTCCTGTACTCCCATTTCAGTCTCATTTAAGCTGTAATTTGTTTTGTTCGTGATTGTTTGTTCACGTCTTGATCACTTCTGCTGGTCATGCATCATCATTTATTGTTCAGAGTGAAGTTCATACTGTGTGTCACGATGGCTGCCTTTCTTTAGCGAAGGAGGAGGAGAGCAGCACAGTGACATTGAGAAACACTCGGGCACATTCAGTTGCCTTTGTGTACGGCTGCTTCAGGATATCCATGTATGCTTGTATGCTCCTGCGAGTATTTAACACTTGGTTGTATTTTAACTTTAAAATATTTTGAACTTTCTACCGTGAATTTAGGGGTTTGATTTCATAGTGTAAGACTTTGCAAGTGCTGTCCAGCACTTTGTGCCAGGGATTGAAGGCATGAGTTTTTGCTGGTTATTTTGGTGCAATTCTCCTGTAGCAAGACAGTTTGTTTGGTGATTTCTGCAAACACGGAAAGACAGTGAGAAGGCAAAGTGTGACGCTGGAGAGGGGCTTTAAAGGAGATTGTACAACTGCTGGATGCTCTGGAGAATTTGAGTGTGCAGGAGAACAAAATATGGTGGTTACAGTATTTTTTAAATCAACAAAAGGAAAAAGTAACGTGTTACAAACTAGGGTAAACCAAATCTCATTAAATTTGAGCAGTAGAGTCTATAATAGAGACTCTAACAACCTCGGAGAGCTGGCAGAAGTACTAATATCTACCTGAAACCTTTTTCTAAGTTGCTTGTGTTGTTTCCTTTCCCTTGGGGTGAACTTCAGATGTAAAATAGATGCCTGTCCAGTTCTATGCCTGGTCCCAGTGGTTGCATCCACTGCTTCAAGTTAGTCAGCAAGTGAAGAAACTTGAGGAGGTAATTGCAAACGCCAATACACTGAGCAAGCCCAACCGGCGTAGCCAGCACAGAAGTGCTAAGGGGGAAGGGTAATGCCAAAATCCATGGAGAAGGTCAAGATTTAAGTATCTGCCTTTCTTCAAGACTCCCAGCCTGTAGCCCTCTCCTGAAAGCAAGCGTTTAAGCTCTCTGGAAAGAGCACGGTTTCACCCTTTGGAAACGTATGTGTTGGTGCTGGGCCTTGCTGTGCAATAGCCCCAGTACAGGTAGAGCGCGCAGGGTGTGCAGTCCCTCACCGTCTGCACCAGGAGATGCAGACACCCATCCCAGTCTCTCACCAGCATCTCCCTCCCTCTAGCTCAATGAATACGGATGTTTTTCTTAAAGATGGAGCACTTTCAACACAGCAGCACTCTCATGGCAAGACAAGCTGGGCAAGTACCATAATCTCTGGGCTGCTGCAGAAGAGCCAGTGGCCACCTCCTTCGCTGGCCTCGTTTCAAAGGGCGGTGGGTGTATCTGCAACTTGCATGGAGCTTCTTCCAGCAAGTGTGCAACGCGGGCGCTCGCAGAGCAAGAGTGAGGATGGGAGACGGCTGGGTTAGGGGCTGCAGCAGCTCTGGGCGTGTGCTACACCACCACCTCCTCGGTGCCACCACGACTGCGGTGCCCTGTGGCGGCGTGCAAGCCGAGATGTCTGGGGCGTTGGAGCGGAAACAGCAAAGTTTGACTTGCTTTCAGGGCTAGGCAACAGCTGAGGATGGGGATTTAAGATGCACCATTATAGACTTAAGTGCCTTACTTCTACCAAGCCTCACTTAAGCGCCTAAGTGTCTTTTTGGTTTCCAGCCCAAATCTGCGCTTAGGCAGAGTCTGTTGTTTCTGTCAAGGTCACATTTGCGTGACACAGAACTGGAGTAATATCTCTTCATTGCTGCTGATCTGCGGTCTGTTCCTAAGGCATAAATCACTTACACATAGGATTGTAAGTTGTGCCCAGCATAATAGTCTGGGGAGTTAATATGCATTTACCAGTGCAATTTCTCTCTGAGCCTCTGGAACAGCCCCCTAATGCCTTGCTAAAGGCAGAGCTGCGGTGAGTGCTTTCAGAGACAGTTATTTTAGGAATTAATAAAAAGATACACGCGTCAGTGATTACACTGTCTGAAAATTCACACTGTGAAAAAATACAACTCATCTGTTCAATCTGACTCCATAAGAGGCAAGATGGGGGTTTGCTCCTCTGCTAATGGGGGAAGCAAGAGAGGTTAGAAATGCAGCGGTGCAGGCAACGTTATTTATAGGAGGGCTACGCCGTCTGGGGCTGGTCGCTCAGTGACTCACGCGCAGAGGCAATCACAATCTGGTGGTTCAGCTTCCACAGCACCTTAAGCAGTTTAACGTTAATGTGTTTGCTGAGGCCCGGGGGAACAGTTGACCAGGCCCTGCCCTGCTGGCTGAAGGGCTGGGGGTGGTAGGGACCTTCACCAGGACATTGATACCTGCCATCTCTTCACTGGGAGGTGCCTGAGTCCAGGTGAGGCAGGGTTTGGGATATCCTTTGACACTCCCTGTTAATGTGGATGAGGTATTTATTTACCTGGTCAGGGTGCTGGTTGGACGTCACTCTTAGATGCTTGCCTCTCCCCATGCTTGTGTACCATGCACCAAAGCCCACACCTTGGGCAGGAGGCACCTGAGCCTGCCATCTGCGGGACTTGTGTCCCTGCACCTACCCGGGCTTCCATTTCGGGGACCAGAATATGGTACGAGACAAAGCCCAGGCATGGCTGAAGCCGCCCCAGTGCCAATCTGCAGCCCCAGTGAATGGCCCCCCAGCACATGGGCTGGGGTCCCCAAGAGAGACCTGCTCCTGCAGCAGTGAGGTGCGCCCCCCACTTTCCAAATACATGTTTGTTTTTAATTTAACTGAGATGCCGTGAGAAGTAGCTGTCATGTCTACAAACCCCAAAAAGCTGAATCGCCTTTGACCTCATTGCAATTACTGTGTTGGCATTGGGGAAGTGACAAGAACAGCCTTGATTTAAACTGACCCAGCGAGCAGATCCTTAATTGCAAACTAAATCCAATACAGTCCATTCCTGCCCCCAATTCGGTCTTCTCCACGATCAGTTTTCCAGACTGTAAAGAAGTAGGAACCAACCATTCATTGCTCAAGCTCCATCCGTCACAATGGCAAATGTCATCTTGTTTTAGTCTTTATTATAATATCTTCTGTAGTTTTGCTGCTGCAGCAATACCAGTTGGCAGGAAGAACAGGTTGACGAATTACTTTCCACTTCATGGCAGTCAGATAAAATGACCTTTGCACTGTCCACATGACCCATTGCTGCAGTAGCAGTAGCTGTGCCAGTCATCAGTACCATGCACTATTGAAAGAGGGTGTTAAGTTCTTCCCTGGCTTGTTAGCAAGTAGATTTCTGTGCAGCAATAGTTACTGGAAACTATCCGACACTTGCACTTGTGAGATGGTATATTTTGGACATTTTCCATAACGTTTTTGTTATCTTTGAATTTGGAATAAATACACAAGTTCAGAGAACTTGCAGTGCTGTCAGTTTTCCAATATTTCATGTTTTTCTGAAAGTCCCAGTTCCTGGAACCATTATTGTCTGTCTTCAAAATCTCAAAATACGTTTCCAGTCTTAATAGGGACAAGAACAAAAGTATGGATATCTGACCTCTAGAGACAAAACATAGATGGCAAATTAAAAAAATAAAAAGCCCTCAACACAATTTTTAAAAATCAACTTCATGATTATGAGCCAATTGAATGATTTACTGGTGGTGGCAGTTGGCATGACAAGGTTTACTGACAGGTTGTGGTTGGCAATGCTCATTTTTCACTTATGGATGAATAGCTATTTTGGTGTCATTAGCACAAAAGAACCCCACCGAGAGCAATTTTTAAGTCAGCTGCTAATCGCTTTTGAGAACAAATTATTGAAATTATCCAGTTATCTAAAGACTTGTAGACTGTAGAGCAGAAAATACAGAAATTCCTCTAGTTGTAGTATTTAATATAATGTGGTGTTACCTGATAAAGATTTGTAGCAGAGGAATTTTGTATCTATTTAGGACTAGCTTCCTGCAAGCTTTTTTCCCTCAGGATACACTGCATATCTCTGCCCTGCATGTGGTTTTGGTGACCATTATCTCGATAAGCCGAAGTGGATTGGATTCCCACTCCTTTTATTCATCCCCCAAAAAGGCTGTGTGCAGCTTTGAAGCTAGTCTTTGTGCCTGGATTCAGGCTGTGCTGCTTCAGCATTGCAGGTTCAGAACAACTTCAAAGGAAAGCCAAGACCGGTTTTTGTGGCAGCAGTGGAGCTCCTGCAGCTGATTTTCCCATCAGTCAGTGTCTTACATCCCTACAC